AAGAAACAAGACATCAGTTTGAGTTTTACTAACTCTTCTAGTGGCTGAAATGAATTTAGTTAATGCTCCTTTAACATGTTTGTTTAGACAGACAGAAATATAAGAATGACAAGTTGTGGTTTGGCACTGCAAGTCTTTCTTTTAAATTACTTACACTTGGAAATCCTTATAATAATATAAACAGGAAACCTGAACAATTATACAACTTGGCACTTCGAAATGACTACATGTGAATCTTAAGACCAAATTGGTTTTTGTGCATGTTATGTTGTTGTGTGTACTTTGTGGGTCATTTTGTAGGCATATGTTTTTGTTGTGATGAGTTTAGGTATCCATTTCCTATATAGAATTACACATCCATAATTAAGACCAAAAGGAGAAAATGCATTAGTAAAAGAGAAAAATTAAACCATGGCAGGTCTCACATATGTCGATCATGTCTTTGGAGTGACATGCAGCTGCTTACAGGCCGAGACAGAGACAAGCATGCAGCAGACGAGGGTAGAAGTAGGTGAACAGGCAAGTCGATAGACAGGCAGCATCTCCCTGATTGCCACGAGGTGTCCCTTTACATTGCCTCACTCTGCAGTCGATGGAAAAATGATCTCACTCCTTCAAACACCACTGACTTCATCTCTGCTGCTGGGCTGGGAGAGGGCTAACATCAGTGCAGCTTTACCTGAGCAGAGCAAATATAGCATGACACGAGAAGGGAGTGGTCCTGTAGTGTTGCCCATGGTTTGAGCCCAGGTTTTCTCAATGGCGTATTGTTTTCATTATGTCATACTGCATAGCGCTATACCCTCAAAACCTGCACTGAGGAAGAAGAAAAGAGAGTAGTATGTTACATGAGACTGCTCACACCCTGTTTCTACTTCTCTAGCATCCAAGCTTTGTAACCTTATTAAAGGAAAATTTCAGTTTAATATCACTAGGCTATCGTTTTCAAAGTTCTGATGACACTGTACTCACCCAAGTAAATTCTGGAATTACAACAGCACTAAAAAAGAGGCATCCACCCTGGTGTAAAACGCGTGCTCAGATGATCAGACCAAACTTCTCTTGCAGTGTGTGAATACAGAGCACATTTGTGGTTTAGTTCAAGTGAACACACCATATTCCCACAGCCACCCCTTCTCACTGCCCTCCCACTAAGTCCACGAGGGCTCATGACTGTCCCAGTGCTTGAGGAGTCGTAGCTTTATTGTGTTATAAAGTTAAAAAGAGGCATGATGAGGAAAGACCAGCATCATGAATAAGAAATGTGTTGATGGGAGTTGTCAGCCTACAGAGCTGATCTTGGTTTTCATCCTTCAAAACTATCAAATGTCTGTCATTAAATTAACACTGGTGTTGTAGTAATTTTTACACTGTCAAAGTGAAACTCAAAGTGGCTTTTTGTTTACTTTGACTTTCATACAAGCACCTGCGACTTGGATGAAAGTTGCAGGTGCAATAATGACTTGCTTGAATGAAATGTCTTGGGTGAGTCACCTTTTGACTGTCTCCGGATTTGAATGATTTCCCTGTGACTATTCTTTCATGTCACCATCAGGTTAAAGTTCTTCCTTTTACAGTAAAATGTCTTTACATCTACTCGTTATGGCAGAAAATTCAAGGTTCCTGGTGTTTGAAATAACATAGGTCATCCCTTAATTCAAATTGTCCCGTGTTTTGTTTTATGACATAGTATTAATTTGAAAGTCAGCAGGTTTACACCCAAAACTATTACCAGTGTTATACTACTACTGTCTTCACTGCCAAGGATCACAGATTAATTTTGGACCATCTTATAATTTGGCTTTCTTTACAGTAAGCGCTGCAACCTCAGAAAGAGAGGCTGACTCTTTTTTCTATTGCTTTTGGAGGATTATAAACATCTTCAAAAATATCTTCTCAATAATAAAAAGAAGCAGTAAATCTAAAGAAAATCTTCATAAACAAGAAATCCACACAGTTCAAGGGACCATGCAGCAGTCTTCACAACATTTTGTTCAAGTGGGGTTTTTTTATTTATTTATATATAACTGTCACATCTTATTAAATTCACCGTCACCCATGGCGGGACATTTACAGTCAGACCGAGCGATCAGGTGTCCCAGTACTGGATAAACCCAAACTAAACAACACCACCCACTCATTCAAGCCTCCAGAAAGGCTTGTGTGTTGTTTGGTGGAAAGATCTGGAGGCTTTGTTTACACCACACAGTCTACAAGGATTGAGAGTCATTACAAGCAGGAATCCAACAAAATTAGGCAGGCTCTCTTGTGAAAACAGAACAATGCAGGATTGCAAAACCATGAAACCAAGGCATAAAATGTGGAGCAGAGCTCAGGAAGGCTAAAATAACTTGCTATTAATCTGGTTTTTGTTTCAACTCAATGCTGACTGTCTCATTATGTTAAGTTTGTCAGAGACCTCTTCATCATCGGTATGCCAAGCAGTCCCTCCATCTACATGTCCTGCCTTTGATTTGACAGACACAGTTGTGATGAGGGGGAGGCCATGCCCCCGGGCCAGCCTCACTGGTTGTCCCCTTGTATGGGTAGATAAACCAGCTGCATCACTATAAATGACATAACATGGGATATTTTGTCCCCCCTAATTAGCATGGAAATGAAATGGAAAGTGGGATATAAATGGAAATGTGGGTGAGGAGGGGGCCGGTGGCAACAATAGGAGGGTTTACACACAGCGCTACGTGGGCAGGGAACAAGTGAACGAGACAGACAGACATAAACAAGGCTCTTCTGTGTCTCCTTAAACCATAAGAACAAAACAATGTCTCCCACAACTCCAGTTGGTGCCTTTGGCCAGTTTTATAGTATGAATCTGTGGATATGTATGAACGTGAAACCATGCAGATGTGGATGTTCCTTAACAGTGTCACCTCCATTTGAATAAACAATTTGATGCCATAGCTTATGTTCCACAACCTAAAAATTTAATTAAACTTGAACGAAAATACATTTCTGTCATTAAACAATAAGGACTGGTGACAGTTGTAAAAAAAAAAAAAAGCAAAAGATCTTACTAAAACGTGTTGCCTGTGTATTCAAAGCCTGACATATCTTATTTCTCTGCACTAAATGTTGTTGTCCAAATACTATTAAGACCACACAGTAAGTTGCGGTGTTGCACTGACCAATATGCTCCTTCACTGCAACGAACTTGGGCATGTAGTTTTTGAAGCAGTCTCACAGTCTACATCATCCTGCTGCCTTAAAGGCACACTGCTGTGCCAGCTATGTATTTATCCACAGCTGAAAGTAGTCCCCAACAAATACACATTTTACTCCTGCTTGATCATTTGCTTAAACAGCAGCCAGCTATTTTAAGAAATGATTGAACATTTTAATAAAGCAAAGTTTGCATTTGGGATGCATATTTAAATATTTTCATCTTGAGAAGGAACAACCAGGTTTGGAGCACTACAGACAGGGTTGGGTTGTTGTAAGTGTAGAGAGAAGCGGACTAACATTATAAATTTTGGTCTTTTCATGAAATTTGACAATAGAAAAAAATCACTAAATAATGCCCGCCTTATTCTTTGACAGCTGAATTCTTTTTAAAGAAAAACACATGCTATCACATGTACTTTGATGATACACTTGATTATGTGAAGTTCTTCATGGGTGACTGATGATTAATGAATAAGGGTAAAAAGTCAGTAGGAAGATAAAGAGCAAAACAGTAACTAATGCACATTAAAGGAAAAGAAAAATGCTAAAATAAAACTGGCTTTTAATGTTATATGAACACATCAACACTTTCAGCTACACATACCATTTCAAGTATATTTTCTCCTCCTGTTTCAAACTGTTAAAATAGATGTGCAGTGTGTGTGTAAGGAAGAGTTTAGAGTCAGCTTTGTGTTTTCTCTGGCAGCTGAGCTGGGCTGGTGCAGCTGCATGGCAGGCACTTCTCTACAGAGCTGCCAGTCAAAAACACCCCTATAAATGCTATTGTGCTCACCTGATTGATCTTTCACAGGCCCAGGGCAGGCCAGACAGGCCGACTTTGGTGGGGAATGGCAAGGAATGGTCGGCAAACAAACAAGCAAGCCAGTGTCTGCAGCAGAGGAGGTTGGGTTGCAGGTGGCTCGGAGGCACGCCTGGGTTGGCGCGCTAGCTCTCATCAGATGCCAGCAGTGACATTTCCTGACTATGGCTATACACAAGAAGGCATCCCAGCAACGGTGCAGTGTCCTGGGGGAATGAAGAACAGCCTTGGGGCAGACTTTACAGCACACACAGGCAAAGGAGGGGGAGCCTGCAGTGTATGAGAGTGCACATATGTGGACGCATGCATTAAACATGACACAATCAGACTTTCTCATAAACACGCTAATAAAGATCTCTTTCTGTCTCCTTCTCATACACACACCTCCACTGAAGCTCATCTGTTGCTAATGGTGGGCAGGGCTGGACTGAGCTGAACAAAGCCTGTCTGGGGTATTGGTTGAACATCACTGCCCGGAATTCCACAGGGGTGGTGCATGGATGGGAAATCTCTGTGTGCCTCTGTGGTGTTAAAACCCCGCAGGCCAGGACAGTCCCCTACACCGGCCTCAGGAGCACAATGTCAAGAGGTGTAAATCAAAGTCCATCTCCAGCTAATCATGTTAACAGAAGCGACTCTCAGATCAACTCTCTTTAGCTTTCTTGTAGACCCAGGTTGAATGACCCTTTATGTTCAATGTTTCTCATGATCAGGGCATTGATGCATATGTGTGCAGGGTAGCTCTGCGAGAACATGATACAAGGTGCTCTAACACCCTAAACAATCTGATCTTTCCAGGAAGGTTACAGGTTCAAATAATTCAGCTTGACCTCGCAAGGAAGTGTTCTCTGCATTTAAAAATCATGCAACAAACAGAGCTGGCTCTATTTTGTCTGGAGTTATTTTCAGGTATGTATTGTTTGCTGAGGAAATGGGCTCATGGATGTGAATCAGGCACCTTGGGTTTAGGGCAGGCACGACACGAGGCAGCCCTGGGGGGTCCAGATTTGGCAGTGTGGTTTAGTAAGGATGTGAGGTAAATCAGGCAACTTGCGTGGATTTTATATTATTTTTGGTCACTCTGGAGGAGAAACTGGAAGAGGTTTGTCTCTGGGCACAGACACGCAAGCAAGTTACAAAGGCAAGTGAAACTGTCACACACACACACACACACACACACACAGACTGCCCTGTGTTTCACACGATGATTGTTTGCATTAGGAACCATTTTCCATTTGGCATGGCCCATGAGAGAAGCTGCTCTTCTTCTGAAGCTCATTCCACACTTCAAACCGACCAGTCTCCCTGACGGCCTCCAGCCTGAGAGTAAGTCCTGTTTGTTTTAACGGTCCTGTGATACCCAGTGTTCATAAAGACAACTAATGTCATCCATGTGATAGATGCTAGTTTTAGTTCTGTTTTGATTTATGATGAATGATAAACTGAAACATACGCAACATCAGAAGGTGTTAAAACTTCAAACAGCTATTGGGCATTTTTATATTGAGAACTGATCATGTGACTACTTGTTTGTGAAAGAATTTGTGCATAGTGACAAACTCACAGGTAATTATCACCAGCCTCAGCAGAATTTTAGCATCTTTCAGCTCATTGTTTTGGTTTTCTGGTGTGCAACTGTATTGTTTTGGTTTAGCCTCTGCTCTCAACCTTGTTTCCAGCAGAAACAGGCAGCTGTTTTTATGCTCACCATATCAACTTCATGGGTGAGAGCACCATGTTTTGTTTACTGCTTATTTTGTGGCCCAAAAGAAAACTGTTATTGCAGATTTAAATGACTTTCTTAACAACTGAAATTTTTTATCTCAGAATAATACATTAATGCCTATCTAAGGAGTTTTTAAAGGGTGAACTAGTTATTGATTTAATGTGGGGATATAATGCATTTTGCAAACATACCCACTTGTGCACTGAGTGAATGCAACAGATAGAATGAACTAAAACAAATAAACTACATTATTTTTTTGTGGGGAGAAATTCATACATTGACACACATAAATTGAACCCATATGTTCGGGTTTTGGTTTTGGCATTGCTTGGCAAAACAGAACTCTGCTTGTTATGGGAATCCATTACATTCCCAGTAGGGGTGCGGCTGCTGCACGCACACCACAGACTGCTGCTAGTGAAGATGGGCAATTTTATGAAAAGCTAAGAGATGATAAGCATCAGCGCTATGGCAGGTGAATCTACATCCAGACTGATAGAAAACCAAAGATTCATTAAATTCATTCATATAATGGAGAGCAGGGTTGGACTGACAACAAAAGCTGAATCTTACAGTTTTGATGAATATGTGTTTGTGCACAGTGCTGTTGTGCATCATGTAATATTATAAAATGAGATAAATACTTAGCTCACTACATTACATGTTACAGTCAAAGAGGAGTAGAGGTAAAGACCCAACCTCTCCAGTAAAGCCATGCTCAGTTGAAACCATCAAGTCTAACTGAAATCATCAAACATCATTGATTTACATTGAAAATTTTAATATCTTTAAAAGGTTTGAATGTGGCCAATTTGAGTATCTACTGTACGACTCCCTGACAGCTGGGCCCACTTCATGTGCTGATAAAGATGATGTCATATGATCTAAACAAATCCAGAACAACCACTAGTGTTAAGGTCACACCAGAATGAAGAGATCATTTTTTAAAAATATTTTATTATTCTTATACACCTAATAGTGTTTCACAGGTTAAAAAACAATCGGGTGTGATTGGACATTTTGATTATGGACTGTGCTTCCAGTAAGTCCCTGTGTGATGTCCTTGTTTTTATCAAAGCTCTTCATCTGCCTATCAGTCACCATCAGCCTTATCAGGAGCAAGGGTGGAGCAGGAGGGAAGAGAGAGGAAGACCAAGCTCCAGAGACAGGAAGAGAGGACAAACGGAGAGGTGTTGTCGACGAGCATTTCACGCGGCACCATCTCCCACAGCCGCCTCGGCCTCTGACTCCTTCCATCTTTCTTATCTCCATGTTCACTGTGTCTTGCTTTGTTCTTTCCTTCCTTTCACTCTTTAATTTGTTTTATCTCATTTGCTTTGTTTCTTTTTATTTCCTTAAATTCTCTCCTGAAAGTATTTCACTCTTTCTGAATAATTCCCTCCATTTCAACACACCCCACCTTGTCTGTCCATAACTAGAACAGCTCAAGCTCTAATAACATTTCAGCCATCCATCAGGCACAGCCAGCTTTGATCAATAAGCACTTTGAGCCTACTCCTCAGCGCTGCACTGAACTTAAAATGTCTCCCCTCTGTCTCTGTCAGTACTTATCTCTCTGCTGACAAAGCTATATTAGACTCAGGGGTGGTTGACTATTACAGTGGATTTCACAGTGTATTTCAACTTTGTGTGTGTGCTGTAAATGAGATGATCTATGTCTACTGACTATGTTCTTTACTATTTCAGTTCATCCTAAAGGGTCATCAGAGTTGTAAATCTTGCGTAGACTGTAAAAACAGCTGTATCAGCACAATAGGAAATGTAGGTGTATCACTGAGTGGGTATTTAACACAGTCTGTTTCTGCCCCTGTCATTTTTTTTTTCCCAATGTAAAGATGTCAGCCACATGTGAATTAAAAACACACGTGCATCTTGAACACGTACTGTGTTTCAGGTCAACTTTTTCAACATTACATTCTGTCTAAATCACGTGACATTGGGTGCAAAGTGACAGGGAGCCAGAGAGCGGGGATTTCCACACATTAACTTTTTTATTGACTTGAAATCATATCATAACTTTTCACATGTGAGAAGTTTATTTCACATAGAGAGAGAGAGAGAGAGAGATGACTCACAGGCAAAAAAAGGGTCTTTTTCAGATGGAAACTGGATTTTGTGTCCAAAAAAGCTGCTGTGCTTTGATGCCACATGTGGGTTATCACGTGTGACTTTTTTGCAAAGGCGGGGATTTGCCAGTACAGTGTGGTAACACTACCACAGTAACACTGAGTCATGCTTTAATGGCAAAGATAAAATAAAGTTTGGGAAATTAAATACAGGCCGATCTAAACAGTGGAAATTTTTCTTTCACTTCATACAAGAAGGAGGTTGTTTCAGCATAGTGGCTTCTGACCGTCCATCACAGGTTATGCCTTTAGTGTGGAAAGAAGTAATGAGCAAATCGACCAGTTTATTTATTTATTTATTAATTTTCATCATTTCATGAACCCACAGTGTGGCAAGACAAACCTGAAACATAAAGTCAAATGATAGAACTGTAAACCCATCAGCGTGAGCTAGACCAAAGAATACATATCTACATGAATATACCTGATGACTAAAGTAAAATTTGAGATTTAAGTATATCAGATTTTCCAACATTCTGCTTCTGAAAATCTGATGGGTAAAACTTTTGTTCATCTTTTGCTTTATACTCGTCCTAGTCCGGTGTTTCCCATTGTTTTTGGCCTGTGATCTCATATCACATTGTGGAGAGTGATTCTTTGATGCTCTAATTGTTTCATGTTGCATGATTTTCATACATCTAAGGAGGTAAAACAATCCAGTGTTTGGAAGAAGAAGATGGAAAAAATAACTAAAGACAAAATCAGATTTTATGTAACCCAGTTTTTTTTTTACCCTTTAATCCTCTTGTGACCCCTTTACATTGACAGTGAGACTTTTGGGGTTACTGAACCCTAGTTTGGGAACTGCTGTTTAAGTCTACACAGAAGAGTTTATGAAAAGGTTGGATTTAATAAAACACTGACTAAACAACTGTAATGTAGTTGGCTGCTTAGGAGCTGCATAGAGCAGGGCTGATGTAATATTTATAGCCCGTTGTGCTCATCTAAATGTGCATCAAAATATCATTAAGGAGGAAATAATGTACAGTATCACCTGTTATGGAGACTGAAACTGATAGAGAGAGGACAAAGAGGATGGGCACACATGTTCTTAAACTGTTTATTGTCTATGTCTGAATCTCAATCACCACTGAAAGTAAAACCAAATCCCATCACAATCCCCTTGTTTCCTGCCTCCTGGCTGCTCACTCTTCTTTAATAAAAAAAGAAGTCCTTATGGCTTCAGTTAGGCAGTTTAGTTTCAATAAGCAACGATCATTTCACCATCACGAAGAGCTTTAAATCCCGTGGTTTTGGTGTGATGTGGATTAAAAACCATAAGAGTGTAAGAATGCATATTCCTGAACTGATTTACATCGGTGTTGATACTCTGTTTGATGTACAGGGCTCCTGCAGAGGTGCTGCCACTTCTTCCTGCTTGGCTGCGATCAGTGTTTGCCATAAGTGAAGGGCTGGAGGCATGGAATGAGGTAAACAAAGTGGGGTTCTTTGGGTTTGTCTGGGCAGAAAAAGAAAAACATGTCAGGACTGTCGTGCCAGGGCAAGTTTTTATGAATGGAAGGTTTTTTTCTAACTTTCTCTCTCGATTTTTTGTGAATGAAAAACAACTGGAAAATCCAGTATAGAAGCCCGCAGTCTGCCGGGAGATGATTGGCTTTTGTTACGCAAGCTCCGCCCACGGTTGCTAGGAGCCCGATGACCGGGCTTCTGATTGGCTCATAGAGGGAACCGAGACTTCATTCATAAGTCAGTGTATTCATTCGGACAAAGGCAAGAAATTTGAGCCCTTGAAAGAGGAAATCCACCAATCACGACCCTCCTCTGACCCGAGCTAGAAAGCAAGCCTCTCCATTATTCCCAAATCAAGTCAGTTCCAGAAATGACAGCACACAAGTCACCACTCCTCATTATAAACGTATCCAAACTCACTCTTACTGCATATGCCAGATATTTTTTTGTCGCAGCAGGGTTTGGTTTTGCTGCTGAGACTCGATTAAAAGGCAACATCTGTTTCCCTTCACAGTTTCAGCGCTGGAGTGTTTCCTAAAGAAAGTGGAGCCCAGCAATCTGGGCAGACGTGGCAGAAAGCCCAAGAGGCAGGCCGCTAAATAACACACAGTTCGCAGGCTATATGCTTTATGGCCCGTCTGACGTTTGTAAATCAGATAACACGACTTTAAAGGAAAATGAACCGAACTGAATTGTTCTACAGAAAAGGGGGGGTCGCTGCTTGAGGTGTAAAGCTTGCTTTACCTGAAACTTAATGTGACGAGCTGTCTGTCACACACACAAAAAAGAGATTTGTAAAGAGGGCAGCGGCCTGCTGGGTAATCACTCGCAATCACTTCCCCTCGGCATTTTTTGTGAATGGAGCTCATTATGCATGCAGCCTCCACGCAGCTCCATTCACAAGCAGCGCTCCGTCCTCTCCCTGCAGGGCTGCGTGGATCTCAACTCAGCCTAAATGACCACAAACGGTTAACGGATGGATTATAAGATGGACGGATATTTGGACCAGCAAGTGCCTTACACTTTAGCAAATGTACGTATAAATGAACTGTTATGTTACTTCAATGCTTTTGCGTGATTTTTAATGCCTCGACTACCGGGCTGTCTCTCTCCGTCTCGCGTCTGCGCGAGTTTGGCTGAAGCAGATGTGTGTGCGCGTTAGAAAACAATTTCTTACACCGTTTAAAACTGCCTTAAAACCTTCATAAAGTTAGGCTTAGCAAGTAGTGCATTTAATGATGTTTGTCAGCGGATTTCTTCTGTGGTATATTTTGCGTGAAGAGCGCGTCAATGTGTGCCAAATGGTCACTTTCTTCAGATGCAAACAGCGCGTTTGTTTTCCACAGCTGAGAAATGTGTTGTTTTCTGAGGAGCTTGATGTTCACCAATAGCTGCAGTAGGCTCCTATTGGTAACCCATTGCAACAAAGGCTATAATAATATTGATAATAATAGTAATAATCATCATTATTATTATTATTATTATTTCTTGTCATTTTTGTCATATGTATCCAAGTGGTATCACTTTAATTGTTTTTTCTAGGCCACAGAAAACATGGCATTAACTGTTTTGACACGGATGCACTGGAAATGCACTGATGGAGTGAGTCTGTTCCTTAACTCTCCTCTGTTAACATCTATGGGTTTTTCAGAAGTCACAAGGAAATGGGCCCCTAAATAGACTGTTGATGGCAGCAAAAAGGAAATACATGGACACAGAATTACCCCCTCAGGAATCTGAAGGTAAAGTAGTGGAAGTTCATAATTTTGGCCTCTGGTCTCTTTACATGATGTATGTTTACATCAAGGTCTATGGACCCTAGGCAATATCAGTCTGAGTCAGTTACTGTATTAAAATGTCATGGGGATAAGACATGTTAATAAGCAGAAGTCTACTGGGTTGTCAAGTTGTTGTACTGTATTCATTGTGTATGCTTTTTTTCTGTGCAGACCTCTTCCAGGATTTAAGCCAACTCCAAGAGACATGGCTAACAGAAGGTGAGAGCTGCCTTTTAATTTATGTTATTTTTTACAATGTTTTCTATTTATGATGACCATGTCCATGAAGGATGGTGTGTCTTGAAAGACTGGCTGACACAAAAACCTAAAAAAAGACATTCTCTCAAGGAATTTTATGCTGCTTTCCATCAGCCGTAAAAAGCACTTTATCACAGATTATGTGGTTACCATGAATGCTTGTTGCTGCCAGGTGTTTTGTCAGTCCAGCAGTGTTACAACACTTGAATGCACGTTTATTGAAGTGCTTTCATAAATCTTTGCCTTTAGCTGAAAAAAAAAGACTTGTGAAAAAGATGACCTTCTTAGTTTAGCAGGCTCACACAGTATACAACGCTGCAAAAAGTGAGGCCGGAGAGAACACAGATGGGACATTATTTGCTTTAAGCATGGCCTATTTTGGCCATGTTGGCATGTAGTGTGCATGCCAGCCAGCCACCAGTGCAAACAAACAGAGTATTTGGCTTGTGTCACTCTGAGGCTCATAGTCAAGAAATGCAGCCCAGTAAGAGGCAGTTGTCAGCTTGTAGACTTAATAAGAGCGATGATGATGTGATTCCTATAGAGTAATTATACTGTATGTCAGACTTAATAAGAGCGACGATGATGTGATTCCTATAGAGTAATTATACTGTATGTCAGACTTAATAAGAGCGACGATGATGCGATTCCTATAGAGTAATTATACTGTATGTGAAGAGGGGGGGAGCAACACAAGCCGGGAGTCATTACATCTGTTTTTGGTGCTGACCTGGAAAAAACAGTGGCAGGACAGTGGGTCTAAGCCTGCTTAAAACTACAAGTAAAAATGAGAATGGCACCATGAGGTGTGAATGTTGTTGTTTAATTTGCTTTGATGTGGACTGAAAGAAGGGAAGACCCACTCATTTTTGACATTTAGTGTATAGTGTAATGTGGATTACATCGACCTGATGAAACATGTTCAAAGTCCTCCTCCACACAAAAGTGAATTTCCTTATTGTTGCTGTGCAGAATGATATATGTGCAGAGTTTGACACTAGAATGCTGTTTTCACATTTATCTGCTGAAGAGGAAAAATCTCTCTGTGGTCATCTTTTATCAGATTTTATGATATCACATTGTGATCCAATATGTAACTTACACATGTGTGATGTGGAAACTTGAAGCCTTTAGAGCAAGTGGACTTTTCAGTCCACAAATTAAACATATGAATTGGAAAATATTTGCATTTTCAAAGATTTTAGATTCTTCAATGATTAGAAGTGTTTTTGAGATTTTCTTAACCAGGTAATTGACAGATTTATTAATTAATTTATTTTTCCAAGCAAAGTTCTTTTAATGTCTTAAAGCATGTCTGGAGGGACATATATTACTTAAGGAATGTAATATGTGAATACTATTGTCATGAAGTGCGTTGAGTACTTATGGTGCTCTGTTGTTAAAGCAGAATGTTATGATATTTCTATGTATGAGAAATTCATAATGTCACCTCTAACACCATTGGAGTCCCAGTACTGACTCTGAGTCATGCAGAGTATAGTTCAGATCAGCAATCAGTTGCAATCAAAGACACTGCTTTAAAACCAGACAAACAGTTAAATGGAGCCCTTTACACTACTGTTTATGGCATGTTTAGCTTTCTCACGTTCATCATGCAGTGTCACAAGCCAGCAAGTTCACTTCACACCTGCGTCTCATGCAGACAAAGACGAGAGCCAGAGCCAATAAAAACTGCAACAATGGGTGTTGCCACTTTGCATTCACAGGTTTAGCTATAAAGGCTACTTAAAAACACTTTTTCACTTTCCTCTAGTGGTACTTAGTGATGCAGGTTGTTTTTAGCAAGATCAGCCTCTGAGATTTCTACCTTCACCTCACTGCAGTAGAGATGAATAAAATTTGGCTAATGGTGTGCAAAGGTTTTAAATGTCAGGACACTGTCATAAAACACCATCGAGGTTACTCACACAGCTCACTGTTATCAGTTTTCATTGGTAATTCTTTCTGGAGATATAAAATGTTTCTATGAAAACTGCTGACAAAAACTGCTGACACCATGGTCTTTGGATTAATCAGAACAGCAAGGACCGTGTTTCCTAGAAAGAGGGTTTTTATGACATTTTTAAAACCTCATTTTTCATACTTCTGAGCACCCCATTGTATTCTGGTGGCAGCTGAAATCACTGTGAAAGATGCAGTATCTGAAATCTGGGACAGATAAAACCCCCTGAAAATGTAGTTTCTTTTTGGTAATGTGATGAACCAGCAGATTAAAAGGAGACACTGCCTTATGTTCTGACTGTTCAAATTGGGTGGTAGCTTATTGTTGAGTCACAGCGAGTGAAACAGCAGAACAGAAGGATGGATGTATAACTTTATCAAAGTGTTATTAAACCTTAAGTACTGGCTTGTTTTCAGCTTCCCTGGCTAAGACCTCTCCTTTCCTGCTACATTAATTAAAGACCTTATCCTGACTGATTGCAGTTGTGAGGGATTCACCAAGATTGTAAAAGCTGGTTAGCTGGAGGGAGGGTTTTTTTTTTTTGCCAAAGGAGAGCGGAAGCAAGAGAGAAACAGAACGGGTGAAGTACTGAATGGCAAGAGTTCAGGAGCTTGTCACATCTTGTCTCATTTTGGTCTTTAGGTTTATATGACTGAGGCTGCTTTGCTCCTCCCAGGATCTCCCACTGAGAGAAAAAAAGTCATTCAAGGTGCCTGGAAGCATCAGGGAGAACATGCGTCTGTACTCGTATAAACACACTTTCCTTCTTGTGCAGACTTGCATCTCAAAGCCCCTGACAAGGTGTTCCTGGAAACAAATCAGATACACATGCAAGCGCTCATACAGTACGCACACACGCACACAAGAAAATGCATAGACACAAGCATACACCGGGGTTGCAATAATGTCTGATGCTCATCATCCGTGTTTTTTACTCCTGGATCTTTATGGAGTCCAGCGTGTTCTGTCGTAGACATGTTGAAACCAGTGGAAATGATTGATTCTTAGTTTGCAGGACTAAATATGGGCCCCTGCTCTGTCTCATACAGCAGCTTTATTTCTCTACCTTGAGACCAAAAGACTGAAAAGTTAAGAGGGGGTAATATTATTATGGTATAGTAAGCTATAAGAAATCAGTCATTTATCTGAACATGCTCCAAAATTGTCATCCGGTTTCCTCTGCACAGGAAGCAGTGTGACAACAAGAAAGTGGATTTGGATGTCTTATTTCCTCTTTTTGTCCACTGCTTCTGTTGTGCTTTCTCTGACTTTTGGTTTCTGTGTCATTGTCTGCAAACTGTAACAGTGGATGAAATGAGAGGGAAGAGGCCATTGAGGTTGAATACTGGGTCAGATTTTGGTTCTTGGGTGATGTTACAACCAAAAACCTTGATGCAGAGTCATGACTCTCCAGTTGGCTACTTTTTGAGAAAGATACAGGACACCTTTAAAAAAAAGTTCTGTTGAAAAGTTTTTTTAAATAAAATTTTAAAGTATGTGGTGCGATTTTGTTTTGTAGCCCATCCAGCCCGATTGGGTTCATTACATTTAACGATGGTCATCAACCTTTCCCCACCAGTTACCTTGTACTATGATGTAAGTGACTCCAGATTAAAAGATTGCTAGCCCTGGTTACACTCTACGTTTAGGTCGTTAATTCAAGGGTAGCAAAAGAAATGTCAACAAGCTCATGGCTCAGTGTGCAAATTAGACCTCCTCACTCTACCAGGGTGTTGGCAGTCAAATGATTTGGGCTTTTCCAAGCTGTTTGTGTGACTCAGAGTCCAATGCTCCAAAAGGACAATTGTGAATGGGTTCAGATTCCTGAAAAAAAAAGAAGAAGCGTACAATAGTGTCTGTCTTAACTCTGCTGCACCTGGGCTTGGCATCACTGACTCTGCTTTTTCAGTTAGATCCTAGATGAATTCCATTATGAGAGAGTGGTTAATCAGGGCCACTGAAATAGCACACCACTGCAAGTAATTATAGAGCAGACTGAGATATCACAAATACACACTATCACTGTATTGACTCCTCTATTTTTACAAATCAGTGTAAGTTGGCCATAAATTATTTCTGACACACACAGGCAACTCAGGGTAATAGCCTGAACATCACAGCATACAACTTATATTAAATATGCTGTGATATTTCTACTAATTAACAGGAAAAGTAGAGTTGATATAGTATAGTATATCCTTATTATTCCAGATAAAGTGTCTATGTGAACTGAAATGGTTTATATACTAAATTCCAGTCAACCGCCATTAAACAACAGAAGAAGAAACAGAAACGTGATGTATGACGTATAAATAGCACGCACAACTAGGTGTGTTGGACGTCTCTCGGCGGGATCGAACATTCTGTTTTGTAGCTTATCTGAGACAGACAAAAAAAAAAAATCTCCCAAAAATGTGGGAAAAGATGAAAAACACTTTGTCAATCACATCCAACTTCATGAGTAACTTGAAAACTCATCCAGACAGGTCAGGGTTGTTGACTTCGCTTAAGATAGCTAGGCTAACTAGTGTTAGCCTGCTAATGTTTGTAAGGAAAGTACATAGTTGTTCCGGTGCTCTGTCAAATTTTGCTACCTTGTCGAGATATACTACCTTGTTGCAAAATCTCTGGACTGACCAATCCCCCCCAATCCATCACCCTAACCCTAACCACTTTGTGAACGTCTTGATAGGTAGCAAAATTTGACAGAACACCGGTTAGCGTTTAACTCTACTGTGCTCTGAGGCTACCTGCCACCACAGACTATTATTAGACATTATTTGGTGAACTTAAGACCTTTTTATCGAGCAAGATAATTAAATAATATAGTGTTTAACGTTAAAGACCATATTGTGTCATACCCGGCTGGAAAAACTAAAAACGGGTCTAAAAAGTTTTGCACTCCCTGCATACTTAACATTACACAGTATCTGGGTTTGATTCAATCTTCACATTTATATGTTTCTTCACAGATGATACATAGAAAGGTTTGTTGTGTGTCCTCAGATTTTGTGGTGAAACGTGGCATTTTGAAATTGAAACACTAGGAATAAACGTAAACCTTACAATGGTTTATTATTCGATTCCTACTGGAATTGAGTAATAAAAATGTTAAATTATTTCACATTTCTGGTCATTTATTTGTTTATTTATTGCTTGTTTTTTTCTGCATATTGGATCGACATACCTAATGGCCTCCCAACATAAAAGTTACATTTGTTGTTGTGGTCTGTTTTATTGGCTAAGATTTCCATTTTAAAGCTTGGTCCCACCAAGAGATGCTAACTGCAGCATGAAACAAGGTTGGCATTATTACTTCTCTGGTGGCATTCAGAAGCTCCATGTACTTGTGTATCGATCTATGGATAAGCTAAGTGCTGGGATGCAGTAAATATGAAGTGATGGACGCCTAAATGTGGCCCTACTTTGCTTTGACTCAGATTTCAGGGGAGAGAAAAGGAGAGACAGAGAAAGGCCACATTTGGTTAAATAATGGTGTTAAAGTTGTGGTTGCTCATTTTTTTTTTTTTTTCTAATTTCAGCTCAGGTTCCTGACAGCGATGAACAGTTTGTTCCTGATTTCCATTCTGAGAACTGTGAGTAAATTTCATTTTCTGTGCCTTTTGAACATATGGGTGTAATGTGCTAAGTGGATTTGTACATGCTACAGTAATCAAATTTTCTGACCACGTATCGCACAGAGCAGGTCTTTTTTATTGTTTATTTAATCAAATATTAATACATTCAGATTTGTGCATGGGCATGCTCAGCCATCTTCCAGATTTGGCCAGTTGGCCTGCTCATGTAATTCAAGCTAAAGTATGCATGTCATCAGAAAGAGTGGGTGAAAGCAGCGATCAGATTTGGACTGTGAAACCATCAGAGGCTTAGGTGGGGATAGTGTAACCAGAGGATGTTACAGTAATGTCTTTGGCAGACAACGCTATGCAAAAACAGAAGGCCTAATGAGCCAGACATCACAAAGTGAGTTTGGATGCCGACATTATGTGCTGCCGTCATCCATTTGCATGCCTTTGAAAAGCTGAATGGTACAGCACAGGAAACCGGTAAAAATAATTCAGGACCCAGGTACAAAGATGGCCTTTTGTACACATCGGAAGGTGTAAAATGGAAAAGCAAATTCCTTGCCCACACAATTGAGCATCTATTTGAATGAGTTTCCCTTTCTTGTTGTGTGTCTTAACAATGGTGATTCAGGATCTGGGTGGGTGTTTGTGTTGCTCTACAGTTTTTTTTTCTGTCCCATTCAAAACACTGCAGACTTCTCCATCTTTAGCCATGAGACTGAAACAGTTAGTAATATCACCCCTAAAGTAAAATGGACAGCTTTCAGGCCAAGTATAAGGCACTTCCTGTCATTGGGACCCATGCGTCTTTTGTGTGTAAACATCATGTGATTTAACCAGCTTCAAGTCATGACTGGCCAGCCCCTTGGTGACACATGCCCTGTGCAACATTTTTGCTGTCTATTGGCCAACAATACAGAGAAGGAAGCGCAGATGAACCTCAGGGCACACACAGGTCATGTCTACTTAACCCCCTGGCCTGTCAGCCAACCAGCTGTCAGACCTCAGCTAACGGTCGACCCGGGTTTGATTTCTCAGGGTCACAGGGGCTTCAGTTTGACAGGCCTTTATTCATGGCAGAGACGTTCCGGCGCTTCTAGATGGTGACCCTGCTTGTCACAGTCGGTAGTCAGTCTAGTTAGAGCATCCCTATTCAGCTTTGACTGATGGAAAATTGAAGCTGACAAGCGCCTATAAATATATTCATCTTTGTGTTTGTTCCAGATCCCGTGTGTCGGCTGTTAAATAGCTTCTCTTGAAATGAAAGGCATCCTCATTGTCTGTTGCAGTTTTAAAAACAGGTGACTCACCTGTTTTGGAAACTCTGGTGCTTATAAAAAGCATAAAGGAAAGGCTTAATCCCAGGTGACCAAAATATAATTGAGGCTTGCTTTGAAACCGGCACCCTGGTAAAATTAAACATTGTTGTTTACTGAGTCGGGGTGTTACCTGCGTGGGTGTGGTGACGGAAAGAGCATGACAGTGAAACAGAAAAATAGAAAGACGCAAAAAGACTGGGACATATTGGAATGCTACATTAGGAAAGAGGAGGGGGCAAAGGAGGAATTGTGCAATACCTGCACATCTGGTAAATCTATCTCATCTGGTTCATTCTCCCTTAGTTCACAGTTAACAACCATGCTCTGTCTGGAGGCTGCCATTGAGGGAAGGTTATGCAAACATGCAGCTTTTATGTACTTATTGAGCTGTGTGTGTGTTTAAAGGTAATTGAGCTATTGGTGATAACAGTGCACCATATTTTTTCCATTGAACTAATGTGATTGGCCTTGCATGGAAGTCTTCAAAGAAGGATGTGATTTTAATATCATGCTCATGAAGTGGGTTGGGGGATGATTAATGTTTGTTTTTTGCTGCTAACAGCACCTTTAGGGGTTATCCTCAGTCAGATTTAGAGTGCACATACTTAATTAAAGTAGTTTGAACATGTCACTGTTTTATTTTTTGGGTCACAAATACTAAAAAGCCACACTTGGAGCATTTACTGAGGTACTGCCTTTGCTGAGAGCTCCTCCTTCTTTGTCCATGTTGTTTACACTTGGAGCTGCTCGATAGATCTGACCCATTCATAAATTCTCTTCCCTGCCTGCGTAAGAGGAAGTGTGCCTCTCTCTCACCCTCCCCTCTCTCTCCGTCCTCTGCTGCTCGCTCCTTTGCTCTTCATTCATAAAAAAGCCCTACAGTACTACAGATCCCCCCTCACTGCCCCCCCCCCCACAAAAAGTGGATATGCCAAACTCCTCCTTCCCTTCCTGTGTCTGTACAAACTAAAGTTGAATTTAAAAATGTGGACATCCCCCTCCTCTTTCACTTTTCTATCTACCTCTCTCTGCACACATTGAGTGTTCCAAGATGTGAACTAATCCAGCGATTTCAGAGCTGTGTGGGACGATTGTTTAGTTTTGTGCCTTGCAGTAATTATATAGGAAGTTGGTGGCTATAGCATGCTGTTACAGTGCTTTTCAGGGAGCAGGTTTAGCAAAGGAGAGAAAGGAAGATAAACAGGGAGAGAGTAGAGGAAGTAGAGAAGAAGAAATATGAACACATGAAATGCCTTCAATATCTCTGCTCTTTTTATTTTCCTATTTGATCTCTTCTGTGGTTCTCACCATCACACTGAGATTTAATTGTTAAATGTCTTATTGTATTTATTTATTTAATTTTGCTTTGTCTGTAACTAGTTGTTTTAGAGGACTGTGCAGGGGATTGCCGTTTTTCGGTTCACTCTTAGGTCTCTAAAATGTCAGAACATTATGAGAAATGTTGAGGGCAGTTTAAGGTTCCTATAACTCAGCCCTAATCCAAACCTCCCAGCAGTGGATCTCTCTGGCTCTGTGTGTTCTGCTTTGTCATGAATTCACAGCCTTCCTCTTGTTTGGGCTGTTTCTCTGGACCAGAACCGGCCCAATCAGGTCCTCTTTGGAGCTCGGGGCGATGTGTGAATTGAGCACCTCCCTCCTCAACTCCCTCTTTTCCCAAAAGAGAAACAAGCAGCTCTGTGGTCTCCACTTTCCAAAATACAGCTGCTATGCAACAAAGTGCACAAAACATCCAGGTGCCTGCCAGATATGCACAGATACGCTCGCTAACCCGCTCTTGGGAGGCGAGGCTTCTCCAGTGAGTTGTGTGTTTGTTGCAGCGCTTTGTTTTGCTCATGAGTACAATGGTAGAATTCTCTTATGTGTCCAGATGATGTCTTTTGAAAGCTTGTCATGCGCACACATAAACACACTTAGCTTGGTGTACACACACACACACACACACACACACAAACTTCAGCCCTGCAGTTTTATGAATGGGTTGGTTGTGAAAGACTGGCTGAGGCAGCACATTGAGTTAAGGGGGGTGAGCCCTCATTCACTGCACTGGGGGATGTTACTCCACCACCACTCCACATATCAGAAGTGCAAGCCTATTTTTCTGTTAGCATTCATCTAGCAGCATTAGAAATTTTAAAAATGTCATCTTTTTTAATGGTATGCAACTCCAGTTTTATCTGGAGATCATTTGTGTTTATTTTCAGTGGTGTAGTCACAATCGCACCTTTGCTAGTCTCAGATTTTAGAAAGTTTCAATTGAATTTCTTTTCAAGCAAGATCATTTAACAGATACTGAAATCATCAAGCTCTTTTTAGTCAAACAAATCCAGTGAAATGGGTTTGTAAAAGCCAGGCATGCAGTGTAACAGGCATTTAACAGCTTCCAGTGGGGAAGTAAAAGCTGACCTTCTTCGTGTTGATTCAGAACAGTCCTGTCAAAGCCAGGAGGCCACGGGGATCTGAGCCCGTCAGCACAGCCCGAGTGTCAGCAGCACAGCTTTGTGAATTGATGGCAGTGTGTGTTTTATTATAGGAGACTAAGGGGAGGTGTGTGTGTGTGCGTGCGTGCTAGAAAAACCCTGTGATGCTCATGCATGTCTGTGTTGGTGCGTTTAGTCTAGCAGGACAGCTCTGCTTTCTGCAGCTGGAATGTTTTTCTCTTTTGAAAGCAAGCAGAGACCAAAGAGGGGAACAGATGCTGTGAGGGCAAGGCTGCAAAAGTAACAGTGATTGAACTTGATCACTAAAAAAAGAAGATACTGAGAGTGTGTCAGTCATGTACTGGTGGCAGCGATGGAGTCCAGTTTGGATATCTTTCCTGTTCATGTTATGTATTTTGGGCCTTAGTCTAGTCTTGGCCATCATTCCTATTGGTAATTATGTAGTGACTTTAGTAAAAAAAAAAGAAGTTAGATGGGGTAGGATAGGTCAAACAGGTTGTAAACAGATATCTGGGTTAGTCTAACCTGTGCACTGAAGAATTATTACTAATCATGAAGCTCAAAACAGATCTGTCACAGATGTGTATCAAAGGTACTGTAGCTGGTTTGCCTGAGCTACTGAAGTAAAGCAGCTGAAAGAACATAAAATGTGGAAATGTCCATATACTTGCAGTCTGAACTGCGTGTTCTCCTTGCTTAGAATATCCATCCATGTCTTTATGTACCATACTTGTTGCAGTTTTTCCTGTGCAGTGAGGAATTATCGGTACATTTGGGAGCACTCACTTTAACAGTTTTTGTAACCTTGTGAAGCCAACAATCTGAAAACCATGCCCACGGTAGGCAGCCACTTGCCAGGTCTAACTTCTCTCTCAAGCCCTTTTTAAAAATTCTTTACGCAACTGCTTCTCTCTGTTTTTGCGCATATAGACGAGTGCAGCACAATGAATGCCTTTGGGCAAAGGAAGTGTCTGCCATTATTTATACTGGTATAATTAATTACATGTCGCTCCTCCCTGGGCCTTTTCACTCAGTTTGCAGGTGCGGTTGGAGGACCTGTCATTCTTTTTAAGCATTCCTTTCCTGTAAATCTCCCCAACTGTCTAAATGCTTTTATTTTTGCCTGATCATGCTTTGTTGTTACATCACTGTTTTTCCCCACATCTTAGGAACTATTTTGGTAAGTACAATTTTGTCATAGCGGTTGACAAAAGGGATGGCCAAAATGATG